GAACAGCTAAGATACTGCGCAGAACCCTCAAACTCCCAGGCCTCTGGTAGAGGACCCCAGGATGACACATACCACCCCACCAGGGGATGCCATGCATATACTGCACATACCTATGCACCGTTTCCTCCTTTTGGCACATTATTTTTCTTCTCCAGTGTGAAATCAATAACCTATCCCAACCCAACCTATCTCATCTGCATCGCTATGGTAACTGATGTTAAGGTCTGATGTAGGAGGCACCCTGAGATGTTTATCAAGGCGTCAGGATGAGGAGCTTTAGGGGAAAACATGGAGGCAGCAGCAGGAGCTCAGCTGCTGGAAGTTTTCCTACAAGTTTCTGTTGTTTATTTGGAGATATTTGTATTTCCTCTGGTTACAATCAGCAGAACGGCTCAAAGCCAAAACGAGTTCAGGTGAATCATCAGCAGGAAGTTTCTCATCATCATCTGGGAAATGATCTCCATATATTAGCTGTGTCTCCATGGTAACTGGTAGGTAGAGGCCAGAGTGCCGGGTCCAATGTGGAGCCTGTGGGTTTTTTCCTCCCTGCAGGTGTAGAGTCTACCTTTGAAACCTTTGGACCCGGAAGTGTTTCCTGTGAACCTGTTGGCTTCTTTCAGGCACTAGGAGAGTTCTGAATCTCTGCCAGACAGGAAGTGTGAAGAATAAACTAACAGGTTGGTTTCAGGGTCAGTGAGCCTGAAAATCCCTGCAGCAGTGGGCGAGTCGACCAATCACAGCTCAGAGGAAGGAAAACATTCCAACAGAAGCTGTTCCTGGACCAAGCTGCTTCCTGTCCTTAGAAACCTGTGTGGTGACTGACCTCTAGTGGCAGGTCTTTAGCACTACAACATGAAGATCAGAACCTGACCGGTCCGTCTACTAAAACCAGAACCTGCAGGGCATAGGCTTCCAGCACCTACCTGGACATGGAGGCGTTGACGGCGAGCGCTGCAGGTGAGAACCCCCCCGCCATGGGATACATGGTCTGGCCCGGCCTGCAGACGGAGAAACAGACACGGTTAATCCTCCGACCTGCCGCTGTCTGCACGGAAACGCTCTGCTGAGGAATCTCAGCGCGTCTCACAGGATCAACGAGTCTCTAATAGAAACTTGTCTAGGCCTGCAACTAACGATTATTTTAAAAATCGATGAATCGGCCGAATATTTTTTCGATTAATCGATGAATCGGC